TATTCTGAAGTTGATGCCTGCCCTAGAAATTAAGGTCACCATGTATGCTACATTGAGTGGGCAGCTGGTACTCTGTAGAAGAGAAGCAGTAGAGGAGGAGAGGTCGGCTGTGTGCCCTGGTCAGTTCTAGGGAACTGTAGGGAACGGGTTCAGTGGCAGGAAAGATGGCACAGGGTGTTAGTATATTGTTCTTTTTACCCTCGATGGTGTCGTGAATCTGTAGATGTTAGAACCCAGCACAGATTTCTTCCCCAGGGAAGATCACGGATGCCTTCAGTTCTCTGGCCAAGAGGAGCAACTTTCGTGCCATCAGCAAAAAACTAAATTTGGTATGTGGAACAAGGCTGGATGGGAAACATTTCTTGTTTGTTTCTTGATAGTGTACTTCTAGTCCATTTTAACCTGTATGTCATTTGTATTTCATTCTTGTGTGTGTGTGTGTGTGTGTGTGTGTGTGTGTGTGTGGTGTATGTGTATGTGCATGCATTCATGTGTATGAATGTGGATATATGTGTGCTGTAGTGCACATGGAGAGGTCAGAGAAAACCTCAGGGTCAGTCCTCATCTTCCACCTCATTTGAGATGAAGTCTTGGTTGTTTTTTCTCTGTGTAGGACAATCTAGCTTGCCCACTAGCTTTTGGGATTTTGTCTGTTCCCAATTCCCCATAGGGCATTGGGGTCAAATGCACTTGTGCTGTGGGTCCAGCTTTTACATGGGTTCTGGGGAATTGAACTCAGATCCTTTTGTAGCAAGTGATTTTGTCCACTGAGTCATCTCCTTATTTTTATTTGCAGGGAGGTGGTGCCTTTAATCCCAGCACTGGGAGGCAGAGGCAAGCAGATCTCTGTGAGTTTGAGGCCAGCCTGGTCTACAGAGTGAGTTTCAGGACAGCCAGAGCTGTTACACAGAGAAACCCTGTCTCGAAAAAGACAAACAAAATTATTACATGTGTTGAGTGTTTTCTTTCATATAGCCCAGTGCATGTGGCGGCCAGAAGAAAGTGTTAAATTCCCTTGAACTGCAGTTGTGGGTTGCCCTGTAGGTGCTGGGAATTGAACCCAGGTCCTCTGTAAGAGCAGTAAGTGCCCTCAACTGCTAAACCAATGGTATTTTTATAAAGGTCCTTGGGTAACTTTACAGCATGAGACAAATGTAAAGAAGCACTGTTTAATAAACATGTAAAGCACCTGGCAGTGCTAGGGAACACTGAGAAGGCTGGGCTCCTTGCTCTCTATGAAAGGCCTAGAGGGAGGAACTAGAAAAGAGCCCTCCACCCAGTGCCTTCACAGGGAGCAGAGGGACCCTTGAAGAAGAAGCAGGTATTTAATGCAATGGTTGTCTTGTCAGACCTTTGCTGGCTCCCTCTAGGTAAAATGTGAACTTGGGGTGTGCTACTTTTTTAAGTTTTTTTAATTTTGTTTTGTTTGGGTTTTTCAAGACAGGGTTTCTGTGTGTAATAGCCCTAGCTGTCCTGGAACCAGTTCTGTGGACCAAGCTGGCCTTGAAGTCACAGAGATCCACCTGCCTCTGCCTCCCAAGTGATTAAAATGGTGATTAAAATCACCATTGCCTGGCCAGTGTGCTATTTTTTCATACCTTTAAAAGGTCAGAGCTGTGAGCTGCCTAATGCAGTACCTTTGCTCTGCAGATCCCACGTGTGGACGGGGAGTATGACCTGAAAGTGCCCCGAGACATGGCTTATGTCTTCAGTGGTGCCTATGTGCCTCTGAGCTGCCGACTCATTGAGCAGGTGAGAAAGAGTCACTTCTGCTTCCACTCCTAAGTCATTCTTTATGCTTCCCAGTTCACTTCCCAGGTTACTAGCAAGAAACCTGAGTCTTGCTGCTATTCCTTTCCTTTTCCTAAACTTTTCTCTCAGACTTGAAACTGGTGTGTATACCTTCCTAGGTGCTGGAGCGGCGGAGCTGGCAGGGCCTTGACGAGGTGGTGCGGCTGCTAAACTGCACTGAGTTTGCCTTCACAGGTATGTGGCATTGTTAGTGACGCAGGGGTGGAAGGGGGGTAGGCTGGACACCGCACTGGTGCTTGGGACCCACGTGTGAATGAAGATGGGACTCTACTCTGACCTTCACAGACATGGCTAAGGAAGACAAAGCTTCCAGTGAGTCCCTGCGCCTCATCTTGGTAGTGTTCTTGGGGGGCTGCACATTCTCGGAGATATCAGCCTTGCGGTTTCTGGGCAGAGAGAAAGGTAAGAGAACAGAAAGGTAAGATCAGGTCTGCATGGGTCCTTGGGGACACAGTCCCTGCACGGGACGGCTTTCCTCCTGGCTGTGGTACCACTTGCATAGCCGTCCCTTGGCCTGCTGTAGCAGGGGGCAGGGGAGCCACAGACCCGTCAGGCGTGGCACATTATAGTGCCCAAAAGACTGTTACTGAAATAGAGTCTTACTCTGTTGCCCAGGCAGGTCTAGATGTTTCTGTGCCTGTAAACCTACGTTCTTATCCTGGGGCACTGTGGAACTTGTGGACTTGCTCTGTTGGGACCTAAGATCTGTGTTTAGTCACTTCTGCTGCTTGTCTTGACTCTTAGGGTACAGATTCATCTTTCTGACAACAGCCGTTACAAACAGTGCTCGCCTCATGGAAGCCATGAGTGAGATGAAAGCCTGAAGTTTACCTGGCCAGTGTCGAAGTCATTCCTGATTGTGGACTCCAGTGGGATGCTGGTGTTTGAGTTCACCTGCTAGAAAAATCTCCCAGTCAGACTGCTCAGAGCTGGGGACTTTGGAACTAATTTCGGGCTTTGGAGAATATGTCTGAGGAGAGAATTCATGTCCCATCCCCCAGGATATTCTTTTGTTCATGAAGTCTAGCCCATGCTGCCAAGGTATGAGGAGAGGTATCCTTTGCTAAATCCTGTTTGAGTATTATTGTAAATAAAGCCTCTGTTCTCAAGCGCAGCATCTTTGTAGTCCCCGACACTCCCTTCTTTACACGGTTGGCTGTCCTGAGGGCTTTGCATGCTTTATGGCCTGGACTCTGGGACCCCTTCAGTTCTTCCTAGTAAGTCAACCAGCTTGCTCTGCACCAGAGTTTCCTCAAGTGTAAATGGACGAGGTGGACTCTGGTCAGCAAATAAATACCTTTCCATTTCTAAGATTCTGTGGTTCATTATGCTTTTCTGAAAACAAATTTATTATTGCTCTTACTTAAAGAGACACTCTTTTCGTTTGTTTTGGTTTTTGTTACTTTATTTTTTTAATATTTATTTATTTATTATGTATACAATATTCTGTCTGTCTGCAGGCCAGAAGAGGGCACCAGACCTCATTACAGATGGTTGTGAGCCACCATGTGGTTGCTGGGAATTGAACTCAGGACCTTTGGAAGAGCAGGCAATGCTCTTAACCTCTGAGCCATCTCTCCAGCCCTTTGTTACTTTTTTGAGACATGGTCACTTGCTAGCCTAAACTGATATAAACCAGGCTAGACTTAAACTTGCGGTGATCTTCCTGCCTCTCAAGTATTCTTTTTTTTTTTTTTAAAGATTTATTTATTATGTATACAACAACATTCCTTCCATGTATGCTTGCCAGAAGAGGGCACCAGATCTCACCATAGATGGCTGTGAGCCACCATGTGGTTGCTGGGAATTGAACTCAGGACCTCTGGAAGAGCAGTCAGTGCTCTTAATCTCTGAGCCATCTCTCCAGCCTCATTTCAAGTATTCTGATTACAGGTTTGTATTATTGTGCCTAGTAAATAAAATGTTTTGTTTTCTGAAAGTAAGAAAAGTATCTTTCTGACGCACCAGCATGGTGGCTCTCTATAATCCCCAGCACTTGAGAGGCTGAGGCAGGAGGAGAGGATCACTCAAGTTCAAAATCAACTTGGGCTTTGTAGTGAGTTTCATACCATCCTGGGCTACAGAATAAGACCTTGTCTCAGAAAAACAAAAAAAGACTTTGTAGCACTCAGTAGAGCTCAGAAAACAAACCAAAATCACCAGCAATAAATAAATCACAGTTCTAGGCTGGGCAGTGGCTCGCTCTTTTAACCCCAGGCAAAAGCAGGGGTTCCAGGACAGCTAGGGCTGTTACACAGAGAAACCCTATGTTGAAAAACAAAGCAAACAAAAAATATTGGTTCTAGATGTGAAACAAGTTTTTGTTTGTTTGTTGATACAGCCTATCTTACTCTGGCCGGTCTCTTAGCTCACAGAGCTCCCCTTGCCTCTGCCCTCTGTGTACGTAGATCAGAGCCATGCAGCACCTTGCCTAGGCCTGCTGTAGTTTTCTTTTAAAGAAAAAAATGCAAGTGATGGCCAGGGAGGTGATGCTGGACAACCCAAAGGGAGTTCCTAGAGCAGAGGTTCTCAACCTCCTAATGCTGAGACCCTTTTACAGTTCCTCAGGCTGGGCTGACCCCAGGCATAACATTACTTTGTTGCAGCCGGGTGGTAGCACAGGCCTTTAATTCCAGTTCTTGGGAGGCAGAGGCAGGCAGATCTCTGAGTTCGAGGACAGCTAGGACTGTTACACAGAGAAACCCTGCCCCCAAAAAAATCAAAGAAAAATATTTCATTGTTACTTGATAACTGTAATTTATCTACTGTTATGCAGAATATCTGACATTTGACCCCTGGGAAAGGGTCAGCGACCCACCTAGTGGAAGGAGAGAACTGAATCCTGGAAGTTGCCCTCTAGTCTCCATATACCCCCTTAGACACAAATTCTATAAATGTAAATATTTATTATAAAAGAGAAAAGGCAACGATGAGACTTTATAGACGGTAGAGTTCTCCAATATAGAAAAACAGACAATTTCAGTTATAATTCAGTGTAAAACAATGCCAATTTTGGACCTATAGCCAAAGAAGGTGGTTTAAAAACGCACTGCCATTCACCCTTGCTGTGGCCAACAAGGATACTCCGGTGCAGACCACAGGTTAATAAACAACCGTTTTTTTGTTTTTGTTTTTTTTTTTGGCGTGTTTAGCAGTTACACTTCTACAAATCATTTCAAAGGAAGTAACAAATTACAAATTACTTACAAATTTGTAATCTGAGAAGCAAAATGCTTGACTTCAGAGATACTGCCACACCAGTCTATTAGGTAAATCACTGCAACACGTGGCACAGGTGCGGTAGGGAACAAGTAAGGACGGGGGTGGGGGGATGGGGAGCGGGGAGAAAAGGATCGCAAGTACTTCGAGGTCAGGTTCCAATTGTGAAGCTTCCCTAATTTTCTCATGTAGCCCAGACTGGTTCACCATCCTGCCTCGGCCTCCTAAATTCTGGAAAAGTTACTCAAGTCTTCTCAAGTTTCTTCTGCAGTATAATGATGATCATTACTAACAGGTTTGTCTTAATGATTAAATGTGATAAACTTGTCTTCAACGGTACCAAGCCCAAGAGCCTGGTTTGCTCTTCTGCAAGCGGTCTGCTAATCCCCGCTTCTCTTAAGACGTTGGAGAGTAGCGAGCTGTTGAGCAGTTCTGGCAGTCTCCCTAGTCTTCTGAGGAAGTAAAAATTTGAAACCCAACGGCGGCAGCCGGGTGGGGCTGGGGTGACCTCATCGCTCTTCGGCCCCCCCTTCCCCTCCCCGGCTCCTCCGCTCCCTGGAAGTTGTAGCCGAGCTATAGGGGCTGAAGACACAGGTGTGCGCATGCGTATACCAAACCCGCGCGGCCCCTGCAAGTGCTTCCCACGCCCCAGGCGCAATCCCCAGGTGCCACCGCCTCCGGGCCCGGGATAGAGCGCCCGTCGCAGGGGGCGGGACAAGGGCGGGGCTCCGTGAGTGGCGGAAACAGGAACCAATTGTCGGACGGCTCCGCCTCCGAGCGGAGTTTGAATTACGCGGGGGTCCAACGGCTCCAGAGCGGAGACAAGACGCTGCTGAGAGTGTCAGAGGCTGGTGGAGGTTACTGTCCTCCGACCCGCGTGAAGGAGGTGGAGGGTCTCGGGTCTTGACTGCCAGGAGCGTCCGCCATGAGGAGAAGGTGCGGGTCTCTCAGGGGAGGGAGCCACTGTTGAGATGGGGTCAGGTTTAAGGCTCGAGAGCCTGCGCTCAGTCGGCGTCTGCGGCTGGGGGCGCTGGGGGTGCTGGGGGCGCTGTGGGCGCTGGCCGCAGGGCTCGGGAGGGCAGCGGGGTCCGGGAGGGCCAGTGGGGTTCCGGGCGACCAGCTGGGCGAGCCACGAGCGGGACGGCGCAGGGTGGAGGCCCGGGTGGGTGCGGCTCAGGCCCGGGCGCTGCTCCCGGCTCCTCGGCCGCCTCAGGTGCAGCTGCTTTTCTCAGCAGCCGCTCCGTGGAAATGCTGAGCCTGCCATGGCGTTGGCTTCTCAGTTGTCTAATGCCTGGGATCCCATAGCTCGGGAGGCTGGACCACGAAGATTGCCTTGAGCTTAGCCCAGGCTACGTGGCGAGACGGTTCAAAAAGCCGGAGAGTTTTAAGTGAACCGTTTTTCTTCGTGGCCGCTCGTCGATGTTAACGTTTAACTTGAACTGGAAAATGGCTTGATTTCCTTGCGCGTTAATAAACTAAAGTACGGAATGTTTTCCGGATCGTTTTAAGATTCCCAGGCACTGCTTGGAAATCGAACCAGAACTGATTCTTTGGGCAAGAGGCTGAATTGCCGGTTTTGACATTTCTAAAATAATATGGGTGTGTGGGGCTCTTGTGCTGAGGCTGTACAAATCCCTTCGGAAAGTAGTGGGTGGACTACTGTGAGATTTAGTATTAGCTTGTATTATTGGCTTTGTAATTTGTAAGAGTCTTGGTAACGTGGTTATTGATTTTGATCATATTTTTTACCCCTTGGGCCTCAAGAGAATGAAAATAGAATGCAAACAGTATCTTGAATACAAATTCAGCACAAGGCTAAGGATTCCAGATAGTGTCATGTGAATGACATTATACTTAAACTCTTTATGAAGACTAGTAAAACCCCTAAAGGAAACTAGTATTCAAAGTATATTGGAAAAAAAAAAAAGTATATTTGGATGTGGTAACTCTCGCCTGTAACAAATTTCAGACACCCAAAGTTCAAGACCTCCTGCACTATATAAAAAGATCCCCTCTCCAAATAGGCCCAAACGCTGGGTGTGGGCACAGGTATTCCCCCACTTTATCTCTTGGGGGGTGAAGGCAGGAGATTTGAATTCAAGGCCAGACTAACATTTGAGATTCCCTCTCTCAAAAAATGTATGTGTTGCTTCAGTATTGTTATTCAGGCATCTTGGGGGGGGGGGAGGTTGAGACAGGGTTTCTCTGTAAGTGACCTGGCTGCCTTGAAGTTCACTTTGTAGACCAGACTGTAGAACTCACAGAGATCTGCCTGCCTCTGCTTCCCAAGTGCTGGGATTAAAGGCGTGCACCACCACGCCCGGCATGATTGTTTTTCTTTTTAAATTTCAAGCCTAGCTCTTATTGGGATTGTAGGAAGGTCACAGCGTGGCCAGTGCTTTCCTTGGTTTTAATTGGATTTGAGATCTTTTAATTTATGTCTTAGTTATTTTTTTAAGAGATTTCATTTTTTATTTTATATTTATATATATAGGGAGGCTTTTAAAACAGGGTCTCTGCACAGCCCTGACTGTCCTGGAACTCACTACCCTGTGGCCTTAACTCACAGAAATGCAAGTGCCTCTGCTTTCTGGGTGCTGGGCGCAACCACATGTGCCCCTCCCCTTTTAAAAAGGGGGGCCTTTTAATTTTAAATTACATGTACTGGTGTATGGTGTTTGCACTTGGGTACCGGTGTCTAAAACCAGACTCGGGTACTCTGGAAGAGCAGCAGTGAGTGGGTGCACTCTTTAAAGGTTTTGTTCTTTGAGAAAGGGTTTCTCTGTAGCACTGGCCGTCCAAGAACTTGTTCCGTAGATCAGGCTGGCCTCGAACCGCTTGCCTCTGCCTCCTGAGTGCTGGGATTAAACATGTGCACCACCAGGCCCAGCTTAAAAAATATTTAAAACTGGATATGAGATTTATTATGAAAATGGTTTGGTGAGGTATAGAACACAGTGGAAGCCCTCAGGACTGCGGGTCTGCCACTTATCCAAGAGACCACAGTATTTTTTTTTTTTAAAGATTTATTTATTATGTATACAGTATTCTCAGTGCTCTGCCTGTAGGCCAAAAGAGGGCACCAGATCTCAAATTCAAATGGTTGTGAACCACCATGTGGTTGCTGGGAATTAAACTCAGGACCTTTGGAAGAGCAGGCGGTGCTCTTAATCACTGAACCACCTCTCCAGCCCCCGAGACCACAGTATTTGACTTGAACCTGTAGCCATCAGGAATGAGCTGATTCTTCCCAGCTACCATGTCTTTAACTTAATCTGCACTAAACTTGATGAAACCTCACTTCTTTGAGATGTGGTGGCCGGGGAACTTGAACACAGGCTCAGTGTGGGACATCAGTCACTTGTCAACTTATTTGGAAACTTGGTGCGATGAGCATGGTGACGTGGCTAATATGAACCCTCCACTGTGCCCCTGGGACTTCCCAAAGGCACTGTGCGGTCTTGTCTGAAGCCCACACTGGAGACACCATTGAGTCATGAATAGCCCTCAGAAGATTTTAAGATTTACTTTTAACAATGTGTGTATGGGTGTATGGGTGTGTGGGTATGTCCATGTGAGTGCAGCAGTGCCTGGGGAGCCCAGAAGAGCTCATCTGGAGTTCAGTTCTGAGCCACTTCAGGGGTGCTGGGCTTAAGGTGGCGTAATCACGCCCCCCCCCCTTTACAAATTTTATGTGAACATCTTTTTACTTGTCTTGGATAAATCCTAGTAGTGGAATTGTTGGGTTGTATGATAACTGATGAGAAACTGCTAGATTTTACACCAATGTGGCTATATCATCTTGCATTCCACAAGCAGTATATAAGCGTCTAGTTTCTCACCAATGTTTGTTGCCCCCTTTTTGTTTGTTTTTCAAGACTGAGATTCTCTGTGGCCCCAGCTGTCCTGGAACTCACTCTGTAGACCAGGCTGACCTTGAACTCAGAGATCTGGCCACCTCTGCCTCCCAAGTGCTGGGATTAAAAGCGTGTACCATCACCACCCAGTTTATGTGTAACCTCTTATGTTAGGGGTTTATTTTACTGACATTTTGTTTGGTTTTTCTTTTATAAAAGCATTTGTAATTCAGTATTATACTGCCAAAAATAGAGTCACGGATCAAAGTCATTGGGTCTTACTAAGAATGAATATAATCATTTTACTTCGGTGGCATTGAGGGCACAGAGAATGGCCCTCATCAATAATAATGGGCTTATTAAACTAGTATCCTTACACTGATTTCATTTCATTTCTCAAGGCCACTGGGAAATAACTCAATTTAGCTCCTGAAAATAGTGTTTTTAGTCTTGAGGTGGTGATGCTAGCTATATAAGCAGATTGGTCTTCTATTGATCTTTCAGTGAGGTGCTAGCAGAGGAGTCTATTGTATGCCTCCAGAGAGCTCTGACTCAGCTTCGGGAAATATGGGAATTAATTGGGATTCCAGAGGAGCAGCGATTACAAAGAACTGAGGTTGTGAAGAAGCACATCAAGGTGAGTTGCGTTGCACTGGTTTCTGCGGTGGGATACGTAGGGATGTTGCTCTTATTTGAGATAGCAAATAGACTGATATTTGGGGGAGTTGGCGAGGTGGCTTAGTAAATAGGTAAAGGTGCCTGAAACTCGGATACAAGCCTGAAGACTTGGCCTCATTCATCAGAACCCATATAGGGTATTAGGGGAGAAGTGAATCTGTAAAGTTGTCTTTCCTCCTTCATATGCATTCCATGGCATTTGCATTCCTCAACCCCACATCATGAGCACACATAATGATTAATAAAAAAAAAAATCTGGTCATTCATACTAGGATATCACAGGCTTTTCCTGGTTTTGTTTATTTAAGGCCCTTTCTGCAAAATTTGATATGAGAGTTTTGAGATACTAGTTGGTTTTGTTGTGTTTTGTTTTTTATCCCCAGTGGCTCCAAACCTTTACTAACTGCCCTCTCTCTCTCGCAGGATCTTTTGGACAGGATGATTGCTGAGGAGGAGAGCCTGAGGGAAAGGCTTCTCAAAAGCATATCCATCTGTCAGAAGGAGCTGAGCACCCTGTGCAGTGAGCTACAAGTGAAGCCATATCAGGTGCGCTGGTACAGAGTGCTACTGGGGCTGCAGGCCTAAGATGGGAATAAGTTTCAACTGAGGAATGCAAGGGGAATGTGTTCTTGTAGGAGGAGAGCTAAACATCAAACAGCTAATATAGGTCATCAAAACTTCTTGCTGTATTTCAGTTTTATAGATCATAATAACCTTTTAAGTTAACTTTGAGGAAAAGGTAGGCACAGATCTTTGTTTTAAAGTGGGGATAAGGGAACAATGAAGAAATGGGTTAATTGGTAAAGTCCTTCCCTAATGGGCATGAGAACCTGAATTCAACCTTCATAATCCTTACAAAAAAGCCGGATTGCTGGGCAGTGAGGCAAAGGCAGGGGATCTCTGTAAATTCAAGGCCAGCCTGGTCTCAGAACAACCAACCAGATATTGGTAGCATATGCTTGTAACCTCAGCATTGGGGAGGCAGAGGAAGGTGGATCTCTGAGGCTTAAGCTTCAAACCAGTGAGAGACCTTGTCTCCAAAAGCTACCTTGTTTTTACTTTTTGTTTTCTTTTTGGAGACAAGGTCTCTCACTGGTTTGAAGCTTAAGCATTTGCTGCTCTCATAGGGGCTGGTTTCAGTTCCCAGCATATGTGGGAGCTTACAGGACTGTTCTGGACTCCAATCCCAGAGAGTCCAGCACCCCCTTGTGGCCCAGTGGGCACAGGTTCACACGCAGGTCACTTAAAGACATTCAGGAGAAAAGCTCATACCCTGTTAAGTAAATCTTAGAACAAAAAGCAGGGTGGACAATAGCACCCAAAATTGATTTCTATCCATTCATTTGTATGTATGTATATGTATATATATAATATGTATATGTATGTATATATGTGTATATGTATATATACACTCCATCCACCCCCACAGAATAAAGTGGGGTACATAGGAAGCAAGGATACCTAGTGATACAAAGAAAAGGGTACCAAACAAAATTCAACCTCTGGCTCTTTTAATAATCAAAAGCTGCATACCACTGAACCATCCAGAATGGTTCAGTTGGGACACATAGGGAGCTGATTCTCATGCTCCATCTACTGTGGCAGTAATAACCACCACCTGGGTATAGATGGAGTAAGTCTAGCAGTCAGATTGCCTTTGAAGGGTGAGGATAATTCATCCCTGGTAGTCAAGAGCATTCAAGCAGACTGTGACATTAGAGTAGTTTACTGAAATTAATGTAAATCATGGATTTGCTACATAAAGTTTCTCTTTATTTTAAACTTTCAGTGTAAACTTAGGTGCATGAGAAGTTGAGGGGTACACTGGTACATCTATCTTCCTTGAATATATGGCAAGTTTTTAACAATACTAAATGAAACTGTATTTGTAGAACATAAATAATTGCTATTCACTCTGTTCCCTTGTTTATCCAGTAGGAATAGAGCAGGATCTACTAAATTGGTATTGGTAAAGAGATGTTCATAGTGTAAGTATTCAGTTAATAAGAGCTATGTATCATCTAGCTAACCAAAGTAAGCTTTCTGGTCTCTGTACCCTCTCGCAAAAGTATCCTGGCACTTAAAGCAGATTCAGTAGAATAGACTGGAGTGGGTGGAAGCATAAAATGAGGACCTTTTGCCAAATTAACTTAGTGCCAGGTTTTTTTTTTGTTTTGTTTTTTGAGACAGGGTTTCTCTGTGGCTTTGGTGCCTGTCCTGGAACTAGCTCTGTAGACCAGGCTGGCCTCGAACTCACAGAGATCCGCCTGCCTCTGCCTCACGAGTGCTGGGATTAAAGGTGTGCCCCACCACCGCCCGGCTCCAATTTTTTTTTAACTTTCAATATAGTACTCAAATTACACAAACTATGAAATATTTTTTGAGATAGTCTTGCTGGCCTTGGTCTTTCTGGCTCAGGTTTCCACAAACTGAGATTACAGGCCTTCACTAGCACACCAAGCAAACTCAGCTGTGCACCACCTTTGACACTAGCACAACAATGATGCACACAGTTCTCACCTGAGAACAGGGCTCTCAAGATAAAACCAACTAAAGCAAGTTGCTCCCTGACCTCTGTACGTAAATGGCATGTGCACATCCACACACCCACAATAAATTCAAAAAAGAAAAATCACCTTCATAATTTTTTGCAGCCAGGCGGTGGTGGCACACGCCTTTAATCCCAACACTAGGGAGACAGAGGCAAGTATCTCTGTGAGTTCAAGGCCAGCCTGGTCTACAAGCGCTAGTTCCAGGACAGGCTCCAAAGCTACAGAGAAACCCTGTCTCAAAAAACTAAAAAGAAAAAAAAACACCTATAATTTTAAAAACAACTTAGTTTTGTAAATTTAATTTTATTACTGTTTGTATATAGTAGGGGAACATGCATGTAGCCATGTCATGCATATGACAGTCCCAGGAAAGTCACAGCTTTATGAAATGTATTCTGCTCATCCTTATGTGGGTTCTGGGGACTGAACCCAGGTCATCAGGCTTTTACATGACAAGTACTTTATCCACTGACCCATCTTGTTGGCCTGATCTCTTTTATTATTGGCCAATACCAGTACTCATTTTATCTTGCAAAACTGACACTAAGAAAAAAAAAAGAGCCTGGCTGTGGTGGCGCACGCCTTTAATCCCAGCACTGGGGAGGCAGAGGCAGGCAGATCTCTGAGTTCAAGGCCAGCCTGGTCTACAGAGCTAGTTCCAGGACAGGCTCCAAAGCCACAGAGAAACCCAAAAAAATAAAAAAGAAAAAAAAAAGCTGTGTTTGGGCTTGGAATATAGATTCTGCTGAGTGCATATTGCTTTTGTCCCTCTGTGAAGATGAAAAGCCCATGAAATCTATTGCTAAGTTGGAGACTATTTGTATTTACTATCAGTACACTATGCACTTAAGAATGGTAAAGATGTTATGTAGGGGGCTGGAGATATGGCTCAGTGGTGAAGAGCACTGCTTGCTCTTCTAAAGGTCTAAAGTTCAATTCCTGGCAACCACATGATGGCTCACAACCATCTGTAATGAGGTCTGGTGTCCTCTTCTGGCCTGTAGGCAGAATGCTGTACACAGAATAAATCTTAAGAAAAAAAAGATGGTATGTAGGGTCATAATTTAGGGGTGTTTTACCATAGTTAAAATTGGTAAAGGAAGTTGTTTATGGTGACCCATACCTGTAATCTGAGCACCCAAAACGGGGAGGATCAAGACTATGAGGTCTTCCTTGGCCACATAGTACAAGTCAGATTTTAAGTCCCTATTTGCCTTTCCCTGTGGCTATAAACTACCTTGGGTTTTTGTTTGTTTTGCTTTTTGAGACAGGGTTTCTTGGTGTAATAGCCCTGGCTATCTGGAACTGTTTAGAACTTTGTAGATCAGGCTAGCTTGAACTCACAGATAGCCCCCTGCCTCTACCTCCAAAGTGCTAGTGTTAAAGGTGTGTGCCACCACCTCTGGCTTAAACTGCCTTGTTTGTAAATGTAAACATTTATCATTCATGTTCTCTCCCAGTTCTCTTCCTATTCTTGGACCTTATTATAGTTATACCTTATTTCATATAGGAAGAAAAGGAGATAACTGTCTTGCAGTTAGAAAAAGATTTGCGCACTCAAGTAGAATTGATGAGAAAACAGAAAAAGGAGAGAAAGCAGGAATTTAAGCTACTTCAAGAACAAGATCAAGAGCTCTGTGAAATTCTTTGTCTGCCTCTGTATGATGTGGAGAGCTCCTCTGTCCCCACCTTAGAAGAGCTGAACCGGTTCCGACAACGGGTGGCAACATTGAAGGAAACAAAGGTACGCTACCTGCATTCATTCACCCTAAAACTTCATTTGGCTTCTAGGTAGCTTATAATAATTTTCTTTATTTTAGGAATCTAGGCATGAACAATTTGTCAGCATTAAGAGACAAATCATATTGTGTATGGAAGAATTAGAACACACTCCAGATACAAGCTTTGAAAAAGATGTAGTGTGTGAAGATGAAAGTGCCTTTTGTTTATCGTTGGAGAATATTGCAACACTACAGAAGTTGCTACAGCAGGTAATATCTGCTCAGATTATGCTATAACATCTTACCAGTATTTATCAATTATAAAAAAACGACAGCTTTTTCTTTAGTCTTAAATAAGGTACAAATGTGAATTAAGATAATAAGCAAAAGCTGGAGGGTGGTGATGCCCACCTTTATTTATTTAATAGATCAGAGTTCAAAGCCAGCCTGTTCTACAGAGCGAGTTCCAGGACAGCCAGGGCTACACAGAGAAACTCTGTCTTGAAAAACCAAAAAAGAGAGGGAGAAAACCAAAAAAGAGAGGGAGAAAACAATATGTAATGTATCTGTTTCTTTGTTAGGGTGTGAGAGAGAGAACATGTGTCAGAGGTCAGTTGCAGGTGTCATTACTAGGAACTGTCCATCTTATTGAGACAAGTTCTCACAAGGATTAGAGCACACTTATTAGGCTAGGCTTGCCAGCCAGTGAGTCCTACAGATATGTCTCACCTTTCCAGTGCTAAAATGTAGTTGGACTTTCTTGTCAGACTTTCTTGGGACTACCAGCTCCCAAATGACAGAAATTTTATTATTAATTATAGCCTGTTAGCTTAGGCTTGTTCCCAAGCAGCTCTTATAACTAAAATTAATCTTATTTCTATTAATCTATGTTCTGCCACATGGCTTTTTATCTTTCTTCCATTGTCTGTCTGACTCCCTTCAAGTCTCCCTGGGCTTTCTTCCATTCTCTATGTCTGACTCCCTCCAAGTCTCCCTAGCATCTCCCCCTGAGTATCTCTCTCCGCCTGAAAGTCCTGCCTAGCTTTTGGTCATTCAGCTTTTTATTAAACCAGTTAGGTGCCTTAGGGTAGACATGGTAAAACAGCGGCACAATTTCACACAGTGATCAAATATCCTGCAATACTAAGAGTACAAACATACGGAGTCCCCAGTTCCTTTTTTTTTTTTTTTGTGGTAGAGACTAAACTCAAACCTTGTAGTTTCGTGAATCTTAGACACTAAACAGTGAACCATAGCCCTAACTTTTTTTTAATTTTGGAAAAAGTCCAACTACTTTATGTGAATAAGAAATATAATAAATATTCTTAGAATATTAAGTTGATATTTCAGATGAAATAGCATTAACCATTTTAAATTACACCAATGTTTAATAATAATAAACAAAATTAAAGTTTGAATCCTGAGCTAGGCATGGTGGCACATGCCTTTAAACCCAGCACAGGAGGCAGAAGCATGAATCTCTGTGGATTCCAGGCCATACACGGATACCTAATGAGACCCTGTCTTAAAATAACAATTGGCTGGAGAGATGGCTCAGAGGTTAAGAGCATTGACTCTACTTCCAGAGGTCCTGACTTCAATTCCCAGCAACTACATGGTGGCTCGCAATCATCTATAATGAGATCTAATGCTCTCTTCTGGTGTGCAGGCATACATGCAGGCAGAATACCATATGTATAATAAATAAGTCTTAAACACCCACAAGAAGTCAGAGTTGGAATTCTGTTTTAGGTCTGACAGCCTTATAGCATATGTTTAGATGACATGAAAGCATGTCTCAGCACTCAACGCAGAAGTGTGATAGCACACACCTAAACTATAATCCCAGCATTCAGGAAGCTAAGTCAAAGCCAGCCTGTGTTACATAGAGAAAACAGGAATATGAATATATGTGGATCTCATAAAAATGCTTTCTTATGAGTCCAGACATTTTCCTTTGAGAGGCTAGAAGGCTAGCCTTTGCTATTTTGTTATAAACACTGCCTGCCTTTCCTTGTTACAGCTGGAAATCAAAAAGTCAAAAAATGAGGCAGAGTGTGAGGGACTCCGAGCTCAAATCCGAGAGCTTTGGGATAGGTTACAAATACCTGAAGAAGAGAGAGAACCTGTGGCTGCAATTATGACTGGATCAAAAGCCAAAGTCAGGAATGCGGTAAGAAAACCAATGGGTGCTGGGAAAATAGTGTTCTGAGCGTTTCTGGGTCCAGTCTAATGTTCTGCCTACTGTCCTGGGCCAGTAAAGACAAGTTCTGTTTTGATACATTTTGTGGGCACATTCCTTAGATTTCTGGCTTTTATAATGCTATAAAGTATGTTGTTGGTTTATTTACACACGGAAAGGTAAAGAGAATATGTAAGTATGGCTCTCGCCTTTCTTTTATCTTTCAGCTGCAATTAGAGGTGGATCGGTTAGAAGAGCTGAAAATGCAGAACATAAAGCAAGTGATCGAGACCATTCGAGTGGAGCTGGCTCGGTTCTGGGACCAGTGCTTCTACAGCCAGGAACAGAGACAGGCTTTTGCCCCTTACTATTCTGGTTAGTACAGAGGTGATGACCTTCATGTGACCTCCCTCACAGGTCTTTTACAAGCTCACTCACCAAATTCTGTATTTTTGGTTCTAAGCAGTTTTCATGTCATAAGATAAGTAAAAAATTTTGACCAACTGAATCCAAAGGTATAACAATTAAATTTTTGTCTGAACTTAAAGTCAAGGAGAGTTCCAGGCTGTCATAAACTGAACAGAGGTGAAAGTGTCCTAAACAAAACAACAGATATTTAGATATTTTATTTTGGAGAATGTTCATCAATTTAGACTACTTTAGTTCACCCCAGCTACTGTGGCTGGCTTTTATTCTTCTCTCTATCCTTAAGGTTTATTTTCACTTTATTTCTACGTCATTTTATTTTAAGGTAGAGAACTTTCCTCACTGTAGGCTTAGTTATTTGGAATACCAAACACTAGAGTAGTGGTTCTCAACCTAATGCTATGTCCCTGTAATACAGTTCATGTTGTGACTCCCAACCATAAAATTACTTTGTTGCTTCTTTACAACTGTAATTTTGCTGTTATTATGAATCCTAATGTATATATCTGGTATGCGACCCCAAGAGATCGAGACCCACAGGTTGAGAACCACTGTACTAATGTTTTTTTTTTTTAAAAAAAAAAAAACCAAACCTGCCACACACCTTTAATCCCAGCACATGGTTGGCAGAGGAAGGCAGATCTCTGTGAGTTTGAGGCCAGCCTGGTCTATAGAATGAGTTCCAGGACAGACTCCAAAGCTACACAGAGAAACCCTGTCTTAAATAATAACCAAACAAAAACCCCAAAACCAAAAAAAATCCACTATTGAACTTTTCTGTTGCAGAGGACTACACAGAAAACCTGCTTCATCTTCATGATGCTGAGATTGTACGGTTAAGAAACCACTATGAAGTTCATAAGGAACTATTTGAAGGTGTCCAAAAATGGGAAGAGAGCTGGAAACTCTTCCTAGAATTTGAGGTAACATCCCTTGTACTTCTCTAGAGTGAAATTAACCCTCATGAAAGCATGCCAGGTGTGGTAGTCCTAGTGCTTGGCAAACTGAAGGATTACTTACCATGGGCTCTCCCCTAGGCTGGGCTTCAAAGTGAAAGGAAAAAGCATTACAAATAGAGAAGTGAGACTGTGAGGTGAGGAAAACAGGCTTCCAGACAGCTAGTTCCTCTGCAGAGAGAGGTTAGGAATAGAAACATAGAGTCCTTGGTAGGTTAGAGCCCCTGCAGTTACTCTTTATAGGCTGTACCAGTCAGGGGCTGTGTCAAGATGACTGATCAGAGATCCATCTGCCTCTGCCTCCCAAGCACTGGCTTACTTTATTTCTTGAGGTAAGATCTCTCACTGAACTTGGATCTCCTAGCCTCAGCCTCTGAGCACTGGGATTAAAGGCAGGCACTACCACCTGTAGCTTTTTACATGGTGCTGGGGATCGACCTGCACTCCGGTCCTCATGCTTATTCACTTTATCTAGGTTTTACTCTAACAAATATGTTTTTCACAGAGAAAGGCTTCAGATCCAAGTCGGTTTACAAACAGAGGGGGAAATCTTCTAAAAGAAGAAAAGGAACGAGCAAAGCTACAGAAAACACTCCCTAAGGTAATTCTGGTTGTAAGGCACCTTTTCCTTCGTCCTTTTTAAACATAGGAAGGACAGCAAGTATGTATTGACCCTTTATATATATTATATAACTCAACTGACTGTAGGAGTTTTTCTAAGGCTGCCACAACTACCAGAGATTAGTTGGCTTAAAACAACAGAAATTTATCTGTTTATACTTCTGGATGCTAGAAGTATGAGCTCAGCGTGTCTTTGATAGGGTTGGGGTCTCTCTTGACTGTAAACGGCTATCCTCTGTTCCTTTGTCTTCACTGGTCTTTCCTATGGGTCTCTGTCCTAATTACTAGGTCCTACCCTAATGACTTTATTGAACCCACTTACCTTAAATACTGTCTTCAGATAATAACAATGAGGTGTATTAAGACTTCACAGTGAATTGTAGGATAACAATTGCACCTATAGCATAAGACTAACTTTCACAAAAGTGCTACTGTCTTCTGTTTAGTAATAGTGCTAAATAGCTTTTGTTAACTTTTGCCAGATAGTATATTCAATGGTATTTCATTCATTCCATTGTCTAATATTTAATATTATTTCCATATGTAGAGATGAAAGGACCAAGATACTAAAAAGTTCAGCTTACCCACCTTCACTGCTCCATATTGAAAAGCTGACAGTGTGTGGTTCCATACTCCTGTTCATAACATACCCTGTCTAGATAATGTTGATATTCCCAGTGCTGCTTCTAACTTTAGACATCAAAACCTCCATTTTACACTGGGGCCTTTTTTTTTTTTTTCCTTTTTAATGTGTGTCTAAGTGAACACTCTAGTCTTTGATTTCCCTTCACTTTAATTTACATTCATATGGGTTTGGCTATCAGAAGGTTGATGACACTGGGAAAAAGTCTTTCTTTACGATAATTATTTCATTTGAGATTAACACCAAAGACTTAAATAGCATGTCCTTGTTTCCGGGCCAGCTGGAAGAGGAGCTGAAAGCGCGGATTGAAAAGTGGGAACAAGAGCAATCAATGGCGTTCGTGGTGAATGGGCAGAAATTCATGGAGTATGTTACAGAACAATGGGAACTGCATCGACTGGAGAAAGAAAGAGCCAAACAGGAAAGAGTAAGTTGTGCACACAAATTAGAAAAAGAGGATACCACTTAGTGGTCCTGGGATCAGAGTTTATTGAAGAATAGGTGGACTACAGCAGCTTCTTCTACTTCAGCCTATAGAGATTTACCTGGGTTTCTGGTTCTGCGGTCTTACTGGGCATATCATTATTTCATTCAGCAACTAAAGAACAAGAAACAGACAGAGACAGAGATGCTCTATGGCAGTGCTCCCCGGACACCTTGCAAGAGACCAGGAATGACTCCCAACAAGCCTGGCAAAGTACGCAAGGTAAATCTACCTTCATGCTGTTGCTGCTCACAAGGGAGGGAAGCTAGAGTTCTTTGCTTTTTATTGACCGTATTTCTGTCTTTGTAGGCTATTCATTTGAGAGTGTATGGGAAAACAGTAGCAGCTTATAGTGACAGAGTGGCCAATTCTGTGCCAGTTTTCAAGACCCTGCATGAATAAACCCCTGGAGGCTGATAATTGGGAGCAACATGTGATAATCTTTTCAGAAGTTCATCATCCAAAGGCAGGCAGTGGTGGTGCATGCTTTTAATCCCAGCACTCTGAAGGCAGAGGCAGGCAAATCTCTTACGGTCAGCCTGGTCTACAGAGTGAGTTCCAGGACAGCTAGGGCTATACTCTTGTATACCCTGTCTCAAAAAACTTAAACTTAGTGATAGTACTAGGCGAAAGACACCTCCCGTGCTTTTAACAAATGCCTTTAGAATGCTGGCTGGGCCTTGCCACCATACCCAGCATGTTCAGGATTTTTAAAAATTAAGTAGAATATATGCAAGGCTCTTGGCCTAATCCTTAGCATTAAAAAATCTTACAACTTTATTTAGTATAGTGAGCATGCAGTATATAAAATGTACACTTTAATAAGGAATTATCGCTACAGTGAAGATAATGGACATATCCACAGCTCCAATAGGTTCCTAATGCCACTTTGCTAAGGTCTAAGGAAGGAGGAAGAGAATACGACCAGAAATTTACTGCCACAATGTTGCATTTTCTAACATTTTATACAAATAGAATCATGCAATATATTTTGTATGGTTGCTTTCATTTAGCATGTTTTTGAGATTCATCTATGTTATAGTATGATTCTTTTTCTATTATTGGGTAGTAATTCCATTTTGTGCATATAGAATAATCTGCTTGTCCAGTCACCTGTGAAGGGAGGGATATTTCTAACTTTGGGCTGTTACAGTTAAAACTGCTGTAGCTGGGCAGTGGTGGCGCACGCCTTTCCAAATCCCAGCACTAGGGAGGCATAGGCAGGTGTATCTCAGTGAGTTTGAGACCAGCCTGGTCTACAAAGCGAGTTCCAGGACAGGCAGGACTGCCATAAACATGTGTAAGTCTTCATATGGATATATGCTTTCATGAGGCCAAATTGTACATCTTGTGCCATAAGTAGTTAGGTAAATTTATAGTTCAGCTGGAAGATCTAATAGGTTTTGAGACATTTCTTAAATTTCCTTAAAGCTGTGCGGTATTGTGCACAGCCAACTTTATACTGTAGTAGCTCCTTTCCTGGACACTTCGTGCTGCAGGGTGGAGCTGGGTTGCTGGAAAGGCTGATGTGTTAACCTCCCATCAATAAAGTATCTGTTCTTAGATGAACACCACCACCATGTCCAGTGCTACACCCAACAGCAGCATTCGGCCTGTCTTTGGAACAATGTACCATTCACCTATATCCCGACCACCTCCTGGCAGCAAGGTTAGTATATTCTGTACATGCATATCCCTGTTTGCTGTGTGCTTCCTAGAGGTCCTCCTCAGCCTAGTTCCTAAGATCACAGTTTGGTGATCATTGAGATTCTGAGAGTCAGGCCAGAGCCAGATAGTCATTAGACCAGGGCTTTTTTTTTTCTCCTTAAGACAGTGTTTCTTGCTGGGCACTGGTGGCACACACCTTTAATCCCAGGCAGGCAGATCTCTGTGAGTTCAAGGCCAGCCTGGTCTATAAGAGCTAGCGCCTGGACAGGTGCCAAAGCTACAGAAAAACCTTGTTTCAAAAAACCAAAATTAGGGGCTGGAGAGATGGCTCAGCGGTTAAGAGCATTGCCTGCTCTTCCAAAGGTCCTGAGTTCAATTCCCAGCAACCACATGGTGGCTCACAACCATCTGTAATGAGGTCTGGTGCCCTCTTCTGGCTTGCAGGCATACACACAGACAGAATATTGTATACATAATAAACAAATAAATAAATATTTGAAAAAAAAAAAAACCAAAATTAAAAAAAAAAGTTTCTCTGTGTAGCCCTGGCTGTCCTGCAAACCACTCTGTAGACCATGCTGACCTCAGAGATTCCCGTCTGGAATTAAAGGTGTGTGCCATTACTGTCTGGCAATAGCTTGATTTATAATCACTAATGTTGACTGGAATTAGAAGTAGTACAAAATTACAGAAGTACGTTTAGGACACTTTGATTTGTTGTAAATTCTGTCCTAATACAAGCTGAAGTTCAGTTCATTTATTTTTAATGAAATTCAAGTCAGCAGCTCAGCAATTAAAATATTCTAACATGGGGCTGGAGAGATGGCTCAGAGGTTAAGAGCACTGACTGCTCTTCCAAAGGTCCTGAGTTCAAGTCCCAGCAACCACATGGTGGCTCACAACCATCTGTAATGAGATCTGGTGCCATCTTCTGGCCTGCAAGTATACATGCAAGGAATGTTGTATACATAATAAATAAATCTTTAAAAAAATATTCTAACAGTACAACGTAAGGACATATTGTTTTGATATTTAAATGAAAGGGAATGATGGTAAGGAAAATATTAATGGTTTGTTTTCTATAATTAAACCATCATGTTCCTGTTAACAGCAGAACTCTGTATAAAGTTACTACTGCAGTTATGCTGTTAAGTGTGTTTTGAATCAGCACTAAGGTATTTAGGCACCATTTGTTGGCACAGAATAGTATGACATGAAAATTTCCTAGTGTGTGTTGTGTGTTCCAAGCAAAGGCTGCAATGTAGTAGACACTACACAAGCAACTGATGCTGGAAGCTCCTCAGGTTCACTGATTTTTGGCCACACACATTCAAAAACTTTTTATAGCCGCATTTTTCATGCCACAGTTATGTGACCTCATGTGGGTCATCACCCACTGTTTTAAGAGGCTGGGCGCTAGAGAATGGTCAAAGATGAGGGGAAACAATCACCGCTCCTCACTGATGGAATGGGAAGGACTACAACCTATAACAAACACTATGACAGACATTGAATAACTAGACCCACTGACAAGTAGGAACTTTGCTAAGAAGTATAATTCATGCCAGGAGCTAGGGTTTTGATAGCTCAGTAGTCAAACACGATTTGTATTCCGTGGGCCATTGGTTTGTTCCCCAGCACATTTTTTTTTTAAATTTATTTATTACATATACAGTCTGTTTGTATGCCTACAGGCCAGAAGAGGGCACCAGACCCCATTACAGATGGTTGTGAGCCACCATGTGGTTGCTGGGAATTGAACTCAGGACCTTTGGAAGAGCAGGCAATGCTCTTAACCACTGAGCCATCTCTCCAGCCCATCCCCAGCACATTTTTAAAAGTTAAATGTACCTGTTTTGTTTTGAGATAAGGTCTCTCCATGTAGCTCTGGCTGTCGTGGAACTCACTAAGGATTTCAGAACCACCTGCTTCTGTTGGGATTAAAGATGTGCAACACGACGTCTGAGTTAACTGCATCATTTTAAACAGAAGCATAAGGTTACAGACATGAGTAATATAAATGTGGCATCAGTGGTTTTGTGAGCACATTCATTCTAGGGTGATGGATAACATGGATATCTTTCTTCTCTGCAGGCAGTGGCCACTTCTATGTGTTCTGGAAAGAAAACACCTAGAGCTGCCCAGCTCAGGGCCAACAAGGAGAACATGGAGCTCAATGGCAGCATCCTGAGCGGTGGGTACTCTGGCTCGACCCCCCTCCAGCACAACTGCAGCATTAAATCTGTTGCCAGCACCTATTCTGAGTTTTCGGTAATTCACCTTTCGATATCTACCAGTCTCTGGGGAGCACACAGTTGGCAGCGTGGGTATCTTCCCAAGGGCGTCCAGGATATTCAGTCAGGACAGTAACCGGAGGCTGAGAATCCCTTTCCTGCCTTGATCATGGTAGAGTGTGGGTGGCCTAGGGGGTGTACAGCAAGGAAGCTGATGTCAGCAGCTAGGCATTTGACCTGAGTCCTTCTGCTTAAGCTACTGTACCATTCCCTGGCTGCAGGAGGTAACCTGCTAATGACTGGCCTGGTGCTCTCTTGGTGGAGTTCTTGGTAATTGTCTTAATTCTTTGTTCTTAGAAGGACCCGTCCCTCTCTGACAGCTCCACTGTTGGGCTTCAGGTCTGTATGGCAACCCTTGCATGTCCCATGTCCTCTTTTCTAAACTGATCTGTCATCTGCTGGCTTCATCCCACCGGGACACAGTACTATACTAACCCATAATCTCAGCTGTATCCACATATATCCTTAAAAACCAAAGCAACAGCAACCATATAAGACAAACAAAAAAAACCCACAAGAATTCTTCCTGTGGGCTTCAAAAATAAGTGTCTGGTTTCTATTTCTAGTAGACTGACTAGCAAGAAAACATGTTCAGACTTGAATTGGATTCTCAGCCCCACCTAAGACTGTGCAAATATATATTTACCTATTATAATTAAAAAGAATACCTGGCCCCCATCCCCTAGTTTTCATATCAAAGCCCCCTCTCCCCCAAATGGGGATGGGAACCCCAGCTGTGTGCTGCTTATGCTGAGGCTCTTGGCCTGTGTGCTGATTGTTTCCTGGAGTATATACCTTACTAACCCACAGGGCTGAGTCGCCCAGTCTGTCCACATAGGCTGGCCTATGCCTCTTTCTCACCTCTACTTATTTCTACCAGTGAGTCGCTAATGTGTGTGAGACTGAAATGCCTCTTCACTACAATGCTTTGAATTTGCTGACACCTAACTACAGTGCCTTTTCCTTAACCATCTGCTTTCTCTTTCATTATCTCACCAGTGAGAGGTGAAGGCTGCCCTTAACCCTTGTTGTGGGGAACAGCAAGTTAAAGCTGGGACTGCCTCCTCTCGGTGCCGCCACAGGGAAGGAGATTGGGACATAAAATGACTGTGGCCAGTTGGAAATGTTGAAATTCTTCATGTTCTGGCCCTTCTTTCTCTAGGTGGTGGTGTTTCTATCGGGAGAAATGGATGTATGAAAACTCTTGTTGGCTAATTGCCAAAAAACAGATCTAGCTTTCCCTCCCTTTTTTGCTTGCTAGCCAAAGCCCATTTTATCTATTTCAGGCTTAAATGTTACCTACACATCCATCTATCTCTAGCTAAGCCTGGAGGGTTTTTGGTATCCGCAGCTATTGTTGACAAACTCCATGGACCAGCACCAAAGCCACTCACCTCTACTAATACCTCTTGTTCTCTTGTGCTTTTCCACCATGTACTCCAGCATGAGATCAAATCACCAGCAGGTTACAAAGCCCTCAGCCCCCGGGATTGGTAGATAAACGGTCTGACCCTTGTTTTACTCATGTACAAGGCCCTGGGGTTCTATCCCAACAGGGACAGGAAAAAACAAAGCTTGTTGCTTGCTTGGCTTTACAACACAAACTACTCAAGTAACTTTGTGAATGTAAGGCTTTCTCTTGAAGTTTTAAGATTGGACTGATGGAGGCTCAGAGCGGGGCACATGTGCACATGTCCTGGGCCTGTGACTTTACAGAATGGTGCTCAGGTTCCTCAGGGAAACTGCCGCTGGGGGCTTTGTGCTGCAAGTTTGAGTGGAAGGGCCTGCACTAGTGCTCTCACTGATGATGTTCATTCTTCAACAGCGAGAACTTTCAAAGGCTTCCAGAGCTGACGCTACTTCTCGAATCCTCAATTCAACCAACATCCAGTCCTGAGAATTCTTGACCAGTTAGCCAGCTGTGGCTTCCTGTGCCTAGACTGGACTGACTTGTTATACTGGGGTGACTTTATAGCTTTTCTTCAGTTTAGGTGTGTTTGAAACAACCCTGTTGTGATACCGTGAGCCTAACTTGAGGCATGAGTACCACAGATGAAGCCTGAAAATCTAGTTATGACTGCAAGTACACATTTTAACATCTGGTACCTAATTTGTTTTCTCTACCCCATAATTCTATTTAAAGAATGGTCAAGGGTTTATTTCACTACTGTATTGAAAAATGAGAAAATGATTGTGCCCAGCCTTGAAGTATGAGACATGAAACAATTCTGGCCTGTAGACCTAGAATTAGCAGTTAACATCTTTACCAATTTTTTAAATTAATGCTGTAGCTATGGTAGCTTTGATTTTAACCCAGAGACCTGTGCCCCTCACCCCACACTATCCCAGTGAGGATTTCTTGTGTTCTGGCATTTGAGATGGCTTGACCTGCTGCCAAAGAGTAGCAGTACCAGCATTTATGTAGTGCAATCTCTTTATGAAGTGTGTATGAACACATGTGCTTGTCTGACCTGTCTTCCAGCCCTGTGCTCCCTATGCACAATTATTCTTGTAGCTGACAACAAAATGGAGAGGCTTTTGGGGTGGGTTGGACCTTTTGGGCATGGACATGAGCAACTTTGCACATCTAAAAGGCAGTGTCCCTGCAATCACACCCACCAGGCTCTTTAAGCACCCAGAGGATCACTACTCTTCCCAAAGCACTATTATTTATTCTGTGGTGTGCCAACACAGTAAATGATTCTTTAAAACTCGGTCTGTGTCGTCATGCTGTCTTTTGCTCAAATATATATGTTCTCTTTTTAAATATATTAAAATAAAATGTATATAGTTACCTTTGGAAAACATGTTTTTTTCTCCAAATCAATTGTTGCTTTGTTCTGTTGATTAAGAATCTTTCTCATTTGGGTAATACTATTTTATTCATGTATTTTCTCATTTTGCAACTAGTGAAGCTGGGCTAGGGTATACATAACTTAGCTATTGATGCTTGTCCAGCACACAGAAAGTCTAGGGTTCTTTTGATCCGTAACACTCCTCTAAAAAATACATGTTCAGCTCTTTCCTACATGCTTTGTAACATTGGTTTTTATCTTGGAGTCATGCACCTTTAACCCTGAGGTGGGATCTGCATCCCTGTCTCTAAACTTATGTTGGCTTGTGACAGTTCATTCTCACCTAGGCTCCGATAGCAACCTGGGGGTTCACATGATATATGTCAGATTTCTTCTCTCTCCACTGCATACACATAAGTGTTCCAGGGTCCACAGGTGACAGCCCTTACTTGGAGTTGTTTTTCAGCGAAGTATTCCACACGGCAGGGTCGGTCCAAGCTGCTGCTGTCCTTGTGGCCAAGCTGTCCATATTTACCTAGAATGTAGCAAGCCCCTTTCTCTGATAGGCATTGCTGGCCTTCTGTGAAGTCAGGAAGCTTCAAAGCCCAAGCAAATTTTGGGGTCGCCCAGAGGACAGTGGCAATGACTCCTCTAGGCTTTCCTGCTTCCTATGCCAAGATGGTCAGAGGCATCTGTCTGGCAGACATATGTTCCCACCCAAGGGAGACACACGACTTTTCAGCTCTCCTCCCATCTGTCAGGCTGAAGCTCCTACCCCTCTTGTTTGTGTGGCTTTATGTCAACTGCTCTATATTCATCCCCTTGGAAAAATCACAAACCCTTTTTACTTACCCCAGCCCCAGGTATAGAGTTCTCCTGTTCCTGCAACCAAAGAGTAAGTAGCTGCCACCATTGTTCTGCTAGTTAGACAAGATACTACCTGGCCTGGCACAAGCCAAAGACAACACGCTGGAATTCTGGATGTACACATGGAGTCACACCCTAGCCTGGGCAGGCTTCCTTCTAGAAGGAAGAACCTATGGGTCTGAGGCTGTGGAGCTGTTAAAGATATGCAAGTAACCTTTTTATTGTTTTTAGTTGATAAGACTTGAAACAGTTCCACTATATAGTCCCAGTCCTCCTGCCTCAGCCCAAGAATTAGGATTTATAAGTGTGTGCTGCCATGTCCAGCATCAAAGTGAGACAGCTGATCATATATCAAAAGATGCTATAATAGGGTAAATTTTGTCAAGAACATAGCTCAGTAATGTGCTTACTTGGTACATGAGAAGCCCTAGATCCAGTCCCTAGCATACAGAGTGCAGTGGCATGTGCCTATAGTCCCAACTACTCTAAAGTCTGAGCCCAGGAGTTTGAGACAAGTCTGCATAATAAAGTGAGACTCTTACTAAGATTAAAAAAAGATGGGCAAAGCAAAGTGTTATTTTTTGCACCCCCAGCTAAAGAATGGGATGGAATACTGCCTCATCCTGAGCCAGTCCACTCACGCGTCACCACGGCTGTGTGTCGGGATCCGCAGCTGGCCTTGACTGCATCTGAGCCCATGGGAAGATCTAGTAGAGCTGGGAAGGGCTGGATGGCTATGAAGGGGGCAGGAGCCCCAACATCAGTCATAGCTGCTTCCTCTTCTTTGAGACAATCTTCATTCAGTTCCGTGGCTTTAGAATGATTATAATGTTTAACACTCTGAGCATGGAGGCAAACCTCATCCACACACTGCATCTTCCTACATTGCTCTGTAAAACACTTTCTAGTGCCAGAACTGGTGCCCAGCCCTTACTCAACACACCTGCCGGTTGTGCTGTGCCAAAACCAGCATCAGCCTCCCACACCAAGGAGTGGTGTCTGTCCAGCAGTTGCCAGGATGAGTCCTGATCCTGAGCACCGCACCTCAGTGTCTAGCACACAGTAAAGAATCCTAGAGCTTGACCTTACCTGCTCCACTCACTCTCTTCCTGTCCTCTGTAGGGTTCTTTATGGGCAGGGCCAGCTGCCCTGACTCATTCCAGCCCCAGATATAAATATCTCCAGTTTCTGAAAGAGACCAAGAGAATCCCTGAAACAGATGGAAACCCTTCCATCTACCTGCATCCTCTACACATCCCCACTTCCATGTCCTAGGGATGGGTAAAGGCTACCCTATCCAAGTACCCAAGAAAGATGCCCCCTTCTCAAGACACACCAGCTTCCTTGTCCTAGACAGCCTTACTATGCACCTCTTTGGCTGGCCTCAAAGTCTCCACCCTCTTCCTGGATGCTTTATATTGGAATAGTGTTTTTGTACACTGTGAAGATGTGTTGCTCTCATTGGTTTAGTAAAGAGCTAAATGACCAATAAGGAAGGAAGAGGTTAGGTTAGGTGGGACTTGAGGACAGGCAGGAAGCTCAGGGATGAAGAGGGCAGTCTCACCAAGAGAGGCAGGGGGAAGCAATATCAATATGAATTTGCCATGTTGAAAAAAGGTACTGAGAGTCTGGAGAGATGGCTTAATGGTTAAGAGGGCTTGCTGCTTCTCCAGAGGACCTAGGTTCAAGTTCCTAGCACCCACACCAAGTAGCTCACAATCACCTGTAACTCAGCTCCAAGGAATCTGATAGCCTCTTCTGGTCACCCCCACACACATATACATAATTAAAAGTTAAGCAGGGCGCTGGTGGCGCACGCCTTTAATCCAAGCACTCGGGAGGCAGAGGCAGGCGGATCTCTGGGAGTTCGAGGCCAGCCTTGTCTACAAGAGCTAGTTCCGGGACAGGCACCAAAGCTACAGAGAAACCCTGTCTCGAAAAAAAATAAAATAAAAGTTAATCTTTTAAGAGTAAGTTTGGGGGCTGGAGAGATGGCTCAGTGGTTAAGGGCATTGCCTGCTCTTCCAAAGGTCCTGAGTTCAATTCCCAGCAACCACATGGTGGCTCACAACCATCTGTAAAGAGGTCTGGCACCCTCTTCTGGCCTTCAGGCACATACACAGACAGAATATTGTATATATAATAAATAAATAAATAAATATTAAAAAAAAAAAAAAAAAAAAAAAAAAAAAAAAAAAAAAAAAAAAAAAAAAAAAAAAAAAAAAAAAAAAAAAAAAAAAAAAAAAAAAAAAAAAAAAAAAAAAAAAAAAAAAAAAAAAAAAAAAAAAAAAAAAAGAGTAAGTTTGACCAAGAGCCAGGGGATGGTGGCTCTAATCATTTAACCCCAGCACTCAGGAGACAGAGGCAGGCAAATCTCTGTGAGTCCAAGACCATCCTGGTCTACAAAGTGAGTTCCATGACAGCCAGAGCTGTAACAGAGAAACTCTAGTCTTGAAAAACAAAAACAAACTGGGTGGCAGTGGCACACACCTTTAAGCCCAGCACTCGGGAGGCAGAGGCAAGCGGATCTTTGTGAGTTCGAGACCAGCCTGGTCTACAAAAGCTAGTTCCAGGACAGGCTCCAAAGCTACAGAGAAACCCTGTCTTGAAAAAAACAAAAATGATACCCAGATCCCAAATAAGAAAAAAATGCATAAATTAACATCACCAACAATGAAAACAAAATTAACAGGAGATAGCAATCACTGGTCATTAATATCCCTTAATGTAAATGGACTCAACTCACCTATAAAAAGGCACAGGCTAACAGATTGGATACGAAAACAGAATCCATCCTTCTTCGGTGTACAAGAAACACATCTCAACCTCAAAGACAGACATGGTCTCAGAGTAAAGGGTTGGGGAAAAAAATAAACCAATCAAATGGACCTAAGAAACAATCAGATGTAGCTATCCTAATACCTAACAAAATAGGCTTCAAGTTAAAATCAGTCAAAAGAGACAAAGAAGGTCATTTCATATTAGTCACAGGAAAAATCCATCAAGAGGAAGTCTCAATACTGAACACCTATGCCCCAAATATAAGGGCACCCTCATATGTGAAAAAAAAAACACTTCTAAAGCTTAAATCATACATTAACAACACACACTAATAGTGGGAGACTTCAAATCCTCTCTCACCACTGGACAGGTCAATCAGACAAAAAATGAACAAAGAAATAAGAGAACTAACAGATGTTATGACTCAAATGGACTTAACAGACATCTATAGAATATTCCATCCAAACAAAAAAGAATATACCTCCTTCTCAGCACCTCGTGGAACCTTCTCAAAAATTGACCACATACTCGGTAACAAAACAAACCTCAACAAACAAAATTGGAAAAACCCAATGTACCTTATCAGATCACCATGGTATAAAACTAGAAGTCAACAGCAAGACTAATTCCAGAAAACCTACAAACTGCTCACCTGAATCATCAATGGATCAAGGAAGAAATAAAGGGAGAAATTAAAGACTTCCTAAAATTCAATGAAAATGACCACACAACATACCCAAATTTACGGGACACAATGAAAGCAGTGTTAAAAGGAAAGTTCAGAGCACTAAATGCCTACATAAAGAAGCTAGAAAAATCCGACAGTAGTGAATTAACAGAACATTTGAAAACTTGAGAACAAAAAGAAGCAAACAAAGTGAGAGCTGAAATCAACAAAATAGAAACAGAAAACAATATAAAAAAATCAATGAGACAAAGAGCTGATTCTTGGAGAAAAATCAACAAAATAGACAAACCTTTAACCAAACTAACCAAAAGGCAGAGAGAGAATATCCAAATTAACAAAATCAGAAATGAAAAGGGGGACATAGCAACAGACACAGAGGAATACAGAGGATCATCAGGTCATATTTTGAAAACCTGTACTCCACAAAATTGGAAAACTTAAAGGAAATAGACAACTTTCTGGATAAATGTCACTTGCCAAAATTAAATCAAGACCAGATAAGCAAATTAAACAGACCTATAACGGCTGAAGAAATAGAAACAGTCATCAAAATCTCCCAACCAAAAAAAGCCCAGGATCAGATGGTATCAGCTTTTTAGTCTCCCCCTACCCCGAGGCAGGGTCTTAATGTGTAGCCATAGTTGTACTGGAACTCACTGTGTAGAGCAGGCTAGTCCCACACACAGATCCACCTACCCTGAAGTGCTGGCTTTAAAGTTGTGCACCACTACGCCCAGCTTGTTTTCAATCTCATTCAAAACTGTCACCTATTTTTCCCCCACTAGGGTAGCCCTAGAAGTCCCCACTGTATCCCTTTCAAAGGCATTGAGGTACCCTGTAAACTCTTTTCTTTCTTTTTTGTTTTGTTTTTCAAATCAGGGTTTCTCTGTGTAGCCCCACTGTCCTGGAATTCATTCTGTAGACCGGGCTGGCCTTAAACTTACAAAGATCCACCTGCAGCTGCCTCCCGGGTCCCGGGTGCTGGGATTAAAGGCACGTGCCACCACAGCCTGGCACCTGTGCCCTTTTTCAATCCCATCTTCCACTGGTCCTACTGTAGGCTTCTGCCTCTCTCTTGCCCTCCTTTTCGTAGCACCAAGGCTCTATAGTAGGTGAGGACTGGAGCTAGTTACTATAGTGCTTAGTCACTTCCTATTGCTGTGGAAAAAAACATGACCAAAAGCAACCCAGGAAGTTTAGTAAGTCCATCATTCAGGGAAGACAGGGCTGGAACCTGGAGGCAGGAACTGAAGAAGAGGCCACGGGGGAATAATGTCAGGGCTTGCTACCCTTGCTTTCTTATAGCACCCAGAACCATCTGCTCAGGGGTGGCCCAGCCCCTGGTAGGTGCGGATCTCCCATAGCAACCATCAATCCAGAAAATGCCCCCTCAGACTTACTTTAGGACAATCTGATGGCCCATTTTAATTGAGGTCTCACTTTCCCGTTGGCTCTAGCTTGTGTCAAGTTGGTAACAAACTAATCAGGACACACTAACTAATCACTAACACTCCTTGGGAGGCAGAGGCAAGAAGACAGAGTTGAAGGTGTGTCCATTTGAGGCCAGGCTGGCCTTAAATGAGACTGACCGCAACATTCAGTAACAGTAATTTATAAAATGCTCAGTCTGTGCTGGTGTTTTATGCACTTCCCAAATACAATCACAAAGCCCTAGAAGTATTTATATGACAATATCCTCACTTAGAAGTCAGATGAGCCGGGCAGTGGTGGCTCACGCCTTTAATCCCAGCACAGTTCGAGGCCAGCCTGGTCTACAAGAGCTAGTTCCAGGACAGGAACCAAAAGCTATGGAGAAACCCTGTCTCGAGAAAAAAAAAAAAAAAAAAAAGTCAGATGAAACAGAGGTTAAGCACCAGGTATAGGAAGCCTTGCTCGATAAGATACCTCTATGCTTCAACCTATTTTGCAAGCCTGAGGTCTGAAACTTCCCTTTAGGCTGTTTCCAGTCCTGTCCTCTGCCTTCCTGCCCAAGTTGGACCCCACTGCCTCCTAGGGCTATTACATGAGAACATAGGGGGGACTGAGAGCCCCAATCAGACAGATCAGTAGCTTCTGGGGCTGGAGAGATGGCTCAGTGGTCAAGAGCACTGGCTGCTCTTCCAGAGGACCTGGGTTCAGTTCCCGGGTACCATCACGGGCATATGCAGCCTTGTCCATTCTTTCTGGCTGAGCTGTCTCTTAGCGGTTCCCAGGATAAGTGTGTTTCCCTTCTGGAGTATTTTTAGAAAGCAGCCTTGGTGCCTAGGGTGGGAGTGGAGGAGAACCCAGTAACAGCGATAACAACCCCAGCAGGCAAGGCCTAAGAGGGTGGTGGAGACAACGGGCCAAATCTGCAGACACTAGAGGGTCAGGAATCACTGGGTTGGGTCGAGTTTGGAATGAGGCCTGGGCTAGACCACCCACAAAACAAAACAAAAACCACAAGAGGAAGCAGTGGCCAAGATCACCAGTTCATCAGCTTGTTTGGGGACAGCCCCAGGTCACTCACCACTCACACACACTGAGTGCCAGCCACCCGCAGCCACCTCAGCCATCCGGAGGCCTTGCAGGGCTTCCAACAGCCTTGGCTCCAGCTCCGCCTCGAGCGTCCCGTGGCCCAGCTGTCCGTGCCTGATCAAGGGAGTCCTTAATCAGCAACGGGTACATGCAAGAGACCACCTCCTCGAGCTTCACCAAATCACATCCAGCTGGTCCTCACCTGCCTCCACCCCAGGAGAACACCTGACCAGCTTCGCACAGCATCAGCACATGCTCGGCACCCAGCTCCAGCTGGCGCACGCGCAGCTCTGGGGCCAAAGGCTGGCAGAAGGGGGGCTGTGGGTTCACGTAGGCATGGGCACCGGGCAGAAGCGGTAGGGTACCCGCCCTAGTCTCACTGCTGGGTTCATCTTCCCCTGGGCCCTCTGCCTCAGAAACCAGGTTCTGGACCCAGAGGGGCTCCCCCTGCAGTGCCGAGCCTGGCGCCCAGGCCCGCAGCTCTGTGCTGGACCCGTCTTTGTCACACACCACCACCAGGAGTCCCTCGGAAGCCCACGCATCCCGGCAGCCATCTGCTGAGCTGTTCACAGAGCCTGACAGCTCCACCCGGCCTCCACCTACATGGGTAGAGAGTGGGGTGGGAAACGTACCAAGGACTCGGGGAGGGGTGCAGCGAGGTTGCCAGACAAAAGGTGCACGGTATTTCTGGGCAGGCATATTAAGAATGGTTGGGCAGGTGTACAGGGAACAGGCCTGGAGGTGGGGTTGTGAGGGTACTCACGGGTCACCAGGGCGGTGTAGCTCCAGCTAGCACTCACTCGACAAACGTCCTCACTGGCACACAGTGGTTCGGGACTGTGCACCGAATGGCGCCCATCCCCAGAGCCCAGCACTTGCCCAAAGCCGCAGAAACCAAAGCCAAACCAGGTCCCATGCTGTTCCTTGGTCATATTCACAGAGCCCTCTATGGGTGGCCACCTGGCTGGGGCGTGGGCTACGGGATGGGTGGTTAAGGTTGCAACCCGAGAAGCTGATTGCAAACAGGCGAGTCTGGCCTTCAAAGGGGCTACAGCTGCATATCTGTAAAATAGTGACCAGATACCATCTGCATTCCACTCTCCTAATCAGAGGCGATCAGTGTCCGTCCCACTATCGTTCCGTGAGCAGAGCTTTGGCCAACGGTTCTATCAAATGAGAGACTGTTGAACTATCTGGAGCTGGTTATGTCTCCCACTTTTGGCTCAAATCCACTGTAAAAAATATTAAGTATTCACCTTTTCTTGACCTTACCCTTGCCCCTATACCCTGAACCTAACAGGAAATCTCGAAAGAAACTGGCCAAGGAATTGCGGGGCTCAGCTCGGGGGAAGGACCGGCGGGGAAGAACGTGTTTAAAGCGCCGCGCGCCAGCAGCCTTTCCGGAGCCAATCGCAGGCGCGAGCGATGACGACACCGCGTATGGGGGCGGGCTCCCTGACGTACTCACATGCGCTGGTTTACCTGTCTGTCCCCGTGAATGCTCCGTGAGTCCGTGCGGGCTGCTCCCGCGAGTGGGCTGAAGCCTCCAGTGAGCGCCGACACCAGCGGACGCGGGTGGAACCACTGAAGGAATATTCATGAAGATCGGAGGGAAACGGCAGGCGAGGACCAAGCCTTGACGCCCGCCATTCCCTTCGTGCTTGGAGGTTGTGGTTCAGGACCGTAGCCCAGACAGGAAGCGGGAGTATTAGTGCCTTCGCTGATTGGCCCAGGCTCTGTCGTTTACATCTACTGAGCCAATGAGCCCTAAGCTTTCCCGCCTCTAAGCGATCGGTGTCCTCCGCAAGAAGGGGAACCTGTTTGAGTCAAATCTTTTTATCTTTTGTTTTTCGAGACAGGGTTTCTCTCCGTAGCTTTGGAGTCTGTCCTGGAACTCGCTCTGGAGACCAGGCTGGCTTCGAACTCACAGAGATCCGCCTGCCTCTGCCTCCCGAGTGTGGGTATTAAAAAGGCGTGCAACACCACCGCCCGGCTGAGCCAAATCTTCAACGGCCACAGCTAAAGAAAAATTTTCACTGAGGGAAGTGCACACCAGCTCCAAAGGCCAAACCGACTGGAGTTCACGGAGAACTCAAATTATCACGACCAATGTATCCAGGGGCCAGCACATAATGCTCTCCCCTAAAACCGTTTATCTCATGGACACTGGAATTTGATCAGTTTCCTAGGCTTTGGGCTTACCCTTCCACTAGAGCTAATAAAGAACGCTTTGTAATTCCTACAGCTCTAAAGGCTGACACAGGATCGTCAGTGTGAAGTCAGCTTGGCTACCCATATCGAGGCCCAGTCTCAACTATAAATGGGCACTGGGGTGGGAAACCACCGACTTCCTTCTCTTGCAGGCCAGTCCTCTACAGCACACTTGTTGGTGCCCAGCTACTGCCCCAGAGCCTCCCACCCTCAGCACAAAGACACACTTCAGTTCCACACAGTTTATTAGAGCGGTGTGCCTGCTGGCAGGCTCTGGTGGTGCTCACGGCTAGCGAGGATGCTGCTGTGCCCTTCTTGATGCCCATAGTCCACAGGCTTGAGCTAGGATGCACCTTCCCCATTCCCAGCTCTCCACAAATATAGGACCCTTCTGAGTGCTGGCTGGGCAGGGCTGTGTAGTGTGTGATCTCTCAGAACAGAACACCAAAGCGCAGCTGGGGAAAAAAGAGTCAAGGGTCCAGCATTCCAGCCCCGTTGGCCAAAGCTGCTTCTGTCCTGGCTCTCAGTGCTGCAGCGGGTGGCAGATGCATGAGCTGTGGGCCCGGGGCCGATCCTCACTCTCCGCCCCGGTTGGGCTGGATGAGTCTATATTCCACTGCTTTCCCGAGGCAGGCTGCAGCGGCCCTGGTGACTGGGCTCTCCTCACCCTTGGCCAACACTGACAGGATCTCCAGCACCTCGCTCTCCATCAGGGTGCTGGCGATCTCCTTTGAGGCCTCCACCATGTTCAACACTACCACAGCACCCCGGTGTTGGAGCTCTTGGTTGGGGCTTAGAAGCAGGGCCTGCAAGATCTCCAGCCAGTGTGTGGTCTGTGGGAAATGGCAGGTGTGAAGACCCAGCAGCGACAAGCTCAACCCTGGTAGAAAACGCCATCTATACGCCAGGACCTCCCCGCACAGAACAGCAATGCCACCACGCAGGGAGTTGCTACTTCCCTCATCCTCCCCTACCAGGGCCGGGCACTTACCACTTGTGGGATGCGGCTGCAGAGTGTGGGCCGCATGGAGGTAAGCATTGCCAGGCCGCCGGCAGCAGCCCTCCGCAGCAGCTCGTCATCCTCTCCGCTGTACAGCACCAGCAGCTTCAACCGGTCGTTGCCCTGGGCTTCAAAGAGATCCTGCACCTGTGACCGGATGGAAGCAAAGACCATGCCACCGGGGCACAAAGCCTAGTAGAAGTACAGGGCCCTTCGCGTCCCTGTCGCGGGGACCACCTGGGCCACCCCTCACCTCTTTGCTCATGGCCAAGTTACACATGCACTCGGTGGCTGCCCGGCGGATCATTTCGTGCTCCTCGAACATGTAGCCCTCGATCATGGGCACAGCCTTTTCCTTCAGGATCTTCTGTCTGCAGGACAGAGTTGGCAGGGTCTGCAGGACCGGCATCTCCGTATCCGTAACCCGCTACCCTATCCCCCATGTGACTGAGCTCTGAGCTGAGCTGCTCCCCTAGCAAAGTCCAAGGACCTTCCTCTCCCGGTTGTCAGCTCCAGTGCTCCCCAGCCGTCTGGCCCGGCTGGAACAGCATAGGCTCGGTAGACATGCTGGCAATTAGCAGAGCAGGACGGTGGTGACAATGGCGACGCAAACGCCAATCATCTGAGCACTGAGCCTGACCAAGCTGCTTGAAGTATTTCACCTAATACTCAACACAACCCCACAACGCTTGACTTATCTTACCTAAAGCTCACCTCACTCCATGGTGAAAGTGTGTGGGCGTGGCTACCATGACTATTTGGCCAACTGGGAAAATGGGCTGGGCGGCGGCCTAGGTCACAATTAGTAACAACAGCTAAGGCGTGTTGACTGTGATTACTGCTAGGGCAGGTACCTATGAACTAAGGGCTTTGGGGGGAGGGGAGGGCTTTTGAGACAGTTTATAGCCTGGCCTGGCCTAGAATTCCCAGCAATCTGCCTCCCTTGGCCTCCCTTGGCATGAACCGCCGCACCCTCTTGCGCTTGCTAGAGCCTTTTATGTACATTTTCTCGAGGAACTCTCTGTGCTACTGCTTCATGGGTTTGATACTTAACTAACTCACAGAGGAGAAACTGAGGCAGGATGACTTAAAGACTTGCTTAGGGTCATACAGCGAGCCAGTGAGTGTCCGCAGCCTGGGGATAAGGAGGGGGAAGTGGAGGGCACAGTCGGGGCCCTGGAGCCTAACTGCTTGCGGCTTCTCTATCTACTGTGTTTAGGGCGCCAGACTTGAACCCCAGGCAATCTGACTTCGGAGCACTGCTCTCACCCTGGGCCTCCTCGGCACCGACCTCGGCACCGCCCTCGGCATGCCTCTTCATCTGTATGTTACACCGGAGTTATTGTGAGGCACAAACGATGACCAGGAGCTGTTTTCCAAACTGTAGAGTGCATACTGGAACTCACCCCAATCCCTATGCCAAGCCTCCCTGGGACCTTACCTGAGCCTTTCGCTGATCCCTGCCAGATTCGTTAGGGCCATGAGAGACTCAAAGTTCTGCAGTCCTGAGCAGTTGAGGTGCAGCAGAGAGACAAGGGGCCTAACCACTTCGTAGATCTGTGAAACATCCCACCTATCAGAGCGTCCACTGCAGCAATCCCCACCCACCCCGTCCCATCCCCACTGATCCACAGCACGGAGCCCGCCTGTGACAATGGCACTCTCTACAGCTGTCCCCTACCCCAGGACTCAGCAAAATTGCCATTTTCCTGTTGATCACGAGGAAAAGCCCATGCTGGAGGCCATCGGGGCACAAGGAGAAACAGGAGAGGTCATGATTGGAACAAGGAGACACATACCCGCTCACCAGGAAAGGTCATCTCCGGGTTAGAGGTGATGGTAAGTTTGGCAAGAGCCTGGGCTGCCTTTGTCTGCCCAACATCAGTGCCTTCCAGGGCCAGCGGGAGCAGAGCCTGTCGGAACAGCCCCAGCCCTGTCAATGCCCAGCCTGGACCTGGGAGTCTAAGGTCCAAGCTATCAACCCACTCACTCTCTCCTTGGTCCTGAGAATACCCTGTGCTCAGACTCTTCCTCGCTCTGAGGTCTCTCAATAAAACCACCCAAACACTTCCTCAACCACCTATTAAGTGCTAAACACGGGTTGTGCTGGGCCCTGGGGCCATGGTGGGAAAAGGAGGCAAACTCAGGACCTTTATGGGCCCAGAGTACTGAGGGCCTCCGAAGAACCTGTCCACATTAGCGTCACCTCACCGGCAGTTCCTGTGGTCACCAATAGTGTCCCCCCGAGGCCAGCAGCCACTGAGTCATGTTTTATAGGTGGCTGCTCAGGATCAGGAAGGAGTCGGAAAGCAGCTTACCTTGCCTCCTCCCTGGGCCACCACAGTGCCTCGATCCTCCACTTCTTCCACCAAAGCCAGGAAGACCCTGCAGGGAGAAGGCAAGGTGGGCGGGTGGGGTCCAAGGCTCTGGCAGGCAGGCATTCCATTCTTAAGCTAGTAAGGCAACCAAACACTCTAGGACTCCCACAGCACAGGTCCCTCTCCCGAGGCATGCAGCAGGCGGAGACGGGAGTTAGAAGAGGCAGGCTGGCTGACCTGGACAGCAGCTCCCTACACGAGTTCGTCAGCACGGGGCTCTCCGTCTTCACCATACACGTCATGGCTGACACCACCCCCGCTGCCAGCAGCTTCTTCACACGAGCCCGCACGAAGCTTGGTTTGTCCTACGAAAGGAGGCAGCTGAGGAACCCCTAGGGTACTAGACAGGGAAATATGGAGTCTTCTCACAGCGGAGTCTGCTGAGTGTGGAAACAAACAGCCAAGACACAGCTTGGAAACAGCCAGTTTAAGGGATAGCCTTCTGCTGGGGATTCCTCACCCGCTCAACTGTGCCAATAGCAGGTCCCCCAGGCCCTCCTACCGTGCCCATCCATACCTTAGGGTGCTGCTCAGGAACGTGCTGCTTGGCGTACTTGGCCAGCTCCACCATCTTGGGGTCGGGTTCCTCATAGTCGTAGCTGTTGGTGCAGTTGACCAGAGCCGAGGCTACTGCAAAGAGCACTGGCCTCTCCTCGGACTGGCCAGGGTAGAAGGGCATTCAGCAGGGCAGCACGGCCTCCCTCCCACCCCCACAGCCCCACCTGGGACCTAGGGTGACACTGGGAACCTGCCTCAACCCCAGACTCAGAGCTCACAATCCCGGCTCTTAACTCCTCCGGGGCAACTGTGCGCCCAGACACTGTAGGCACCAAGGCCACACAAAGCAGCTAGCTGGCCCGGCATCACCAGGGACACCTGGCAAGCGCTCATCCCAGGTCCTGCCCCTAGGTTGACTGACAACAGGAACCCACAGAGCTACCTTGCTGAGCTGGAACAGGGCCTTCAGAGCAGCCTCATCCTCCACAAATTCCTCCTTTACATCGGCATCAAAGGTGAGGTAAGCTAGGCCTTCTACAGCCCAGCGCCGAGTGCCCGCGTCAATCTGGTCATTGCATAGCCACCTAGGGACATGGATGACAGCGGATGACCATCAGAGGCAGGAAGCCGGAGCCAGACATGGTGGCACGTGCCAGTAATCTCAGCACGCAGGAGGCAGAGACAAGGAGGGTCCTAAGTTCTAGGATAGCTTGGGCTTAGGGAGACCCTATCTCAAAAAAACAAAATCCAGCAACAAGAAGCAGAAGTGGAAGCAGGAAGGAGTAACCTGGACAAGGAGGAGAGCCAGGAGCTTGGGCCTCCCTGGGACACTGGAGCTGAGGAGCTAGGGTCTAGCAGGAAAGAAAGAAGCTCCACCTTCCACCCACACCCTGTTTTCAAAGTTGTATGCATACAACTCTGCATACACATGGCGGCCAGAGGAGGACATCAGGGGTCCTGCTGTCCCGCTCTGTCGTCCTCCCTTGGAACAGGGTCTCTCACTGAAGGAAGCCACAGTGATCCTTCTGTCTCCGCCCACAGGGACACAGATGGCCACACTCAGCTTCTTTTCTTTTAATTATTTATTTATATTTTATGTGCATTGGTGTTTTGCTTGCACGTACGTCTGTGTCAGATCCTGGAGTTACAGGCGGTTGTTAGCTGCTCTGTGGGTGCCGGGACTTGAACCTGAGTCCTCTGAAGAGCAGTCAGTGTGCTCTTAACCACTG